TTAGTTTCACTATAATGTTTTCATTTGATGGTATTGCCGGTGGATGAGAGATGTGAGACGGAAGTGAAGATGGTTGGAGAAGATGCGAGGTGTTTGGTTGCTGGGATATAATTGGGGTTGGGTTGTTTCGTTGTGAGGATATTGGGATATTTTGGAAAGATGGTTAAAAGTTAATTTTTTGACTTTTAAAACTTTTTTTACTATTGTATGTGAGAGATGATGTGACCTAAAATAGATTAAAAGCTATCTTTTGACAATGTTCCCAAATGACCCTGTTGGGTTGTTTGGTTATTAAGAAGCCTGGGTAATTTTGGTATTCAGTTACCCATATTTGCTATGTTAAGAAATTTATGTTGGGACTCCTAACAATGGGAGATTTGTGTATATTGTCAGTAAAAATAAGAAAGAGATGTGTAATTTTGGAAATTACAAGAGATATTCTTATAATTATCAGATACCTTAAGTGAAGTTTGCGTAATTAACCCAATTTATTATATTTGTTTTAAAAAATAATTTATTTTTTATATAATACTTGTCATTTACTCTTTTTTTTTTTTTAAAAAAAATATAATAAAATTTTGCAACTATAATTATTTAATCAATTTGATTTTTTTAAACAAATATATCACATTGTTGGAGTGAGACATGGAATTTTTTTTTAAAAAAAAAAAACGGAAGCGAGACTTGGATTGGATCTACATATTTTGACGACACCCACACCAATCAGATTCGCTTACGCTGTGTTTGGTTGGGGGATTTGGAAAGGAATTTGGAAAAGAAAAGGGAAAAGGTGTGTGAAACTAGGTGAAATATAGGTATGTTTTATTTACATTTCACCTATCTTTTTTATTTCTTTTTTCAAATTCCTCTTCAAATCCCCCAACCAAAGACAGCATTAGTGAATTGGAGAGAAACTTAATCTTTTGAAGATAAATTAAATTTTCAATACCACATAAGTATCCTAAGCACCATCGCGCAATGACTATACTTAATAGATTATTGAGTAGCTTTATTTGTTAATGATGCAATGCTTTAGTAAAAATATCTTACTGTATTAGCTTTAGGTTCAATTTTTACTCAAAATGAAATATCTTTAAGTTGGAAAGTGAAGCGTATATTAATGAATGTTTGTGAAATTTTTAATTTATATTATGATGAATATTTCACGCACTTTGGGAAGAAGTTAAAAAAATTTATTTTTTTATCCAAAAGAATCTAATTTTTTGTTAAAAATATCACTAAAAAAATTAAAAAATTAATTTTTTACTAACTTCTCAAAACATTACATTTTAAAGTCTATAACATGTTTTTAGTCAAATGATAATGATTGCTTCGTTATAACATTTCGTAGTGGCTAAAAGTCGAATTCGCGAAGGTTCTAAATATGAATATGAACATATGATAAAATCATGATATAGAGCTTGTTTGAGATGTTAGGTTTGAATTTTTTTTTTTACTCAAATAATCATAAAAAATAAAATATATTTTTTAATATAATAAAATAAAATATCACATTTAATTTATAATCATTATATTCATTTTTTCACAAAAGTTAAAAAAGCTAAAACGTTTATTCTAAGCGAGACTTTTTAACTCCAAACTAAAATAATTAAAAAAATTAAAAAGTCAACTTACTTTCCAAACGAAGGTGGAGCTGCTTTTCTAATTTGAACAATTCCAAATCTAAATTGAATGTAAATTATTCCTAAAAAATGAAAATTATTGCGATAAGTTTGGGTAGAAATTTGGTTAGAAAATTCTAGAGATTTTTTAACGTAATGTTTTGGATCAGTCCAGTCCAACTTTTAATAAGGTTTTTTAAAGTAAAAAATTTTAATAAGAGGCATTTTATATTTAAACAATATTTATTAATATTTTGTATTTTATTTTTTGCATGTAAAATTTATTTTCTATTAGTGGAAAAAAATTGAAAGTTTATTTACAACTTTTAGTAACGGGCCTTTAATCAATGAATATTTTTTTTAGTTGGGTCTTTGTTTAAACAAATTTTTTCTTGACCATTAAAGAATTGGAAGAATTTATTTTAGCATTTATGATTGGAGTTTGAAACAATTTTTTCTTGTTTATGGATTCTTTGACAATTAGATTTATTATGATCCTTTAGATAAAAAATGTGCTTTTAGTATTCATGATTCAAGACATTTAACAATTGAGAATTTTATTTTTTTTGGGATGTCAAGATAATAATAATCTTTTAAAAAAGGGAAATTACACTAATGGTCCCTATAGTTTGAGATTTGTATCATTTTGGTCCTTGACTTTTCAATTGTAATACATTTGACTATGAATTTTGAATTTTGTTCCAAATAAGGACAATTGAAAATACCATTGAATTTTTCAAGGACAAAATAGTCAATTTGATAAAATATAAATTAATTTGACAAAATAAATGTCAAAAAAATATTATAAAATTTTTAAAAATTATTCTACCCACTAAAGATAAATTTATGTAAAATTGATAAATCTTTTAGACATTTATTATTTTACCAAATTATTTCTGGGCGAATTATGCTAACAGTCCCTATAGTTTAGAGCTCGTGTTATTTTGGTCTCTGACTTTTCAATTGTAATATATTTAACCTTGAATTTCTAATCTTGTTCTTAATAAGGACAATTGAAGATACCATCAATCAATTTCAAGGGCAAAATCACTAATTTTATAAAATATAAACTAATTTGATAAAAATATATGTCAAGTAGATATTTTTGAATTTTTAAAATTATTTATACTCACCAAAAATAAAACTATGTAAAATTGATAAATCTTTTACACATTTATTTATTTATTTATTACCAAATTAATTTTTATTATGTATTTGGATAATGATCATGTAATGGATGCTTGTTTTTATTTTTATTAAATTAGTTTTTATTTTTCTAAAAATCAAATATGGCGACAATTTTGAAATCATTATTAAACCAATCCATTAAATCAAAAAATTCAAAACTATAAATATTTCATATATTAAATACTATATATCGATTACACATTAAAAGTCTAACAACCTCTCATTGTATGATCATTATCCAAATAAATAATAAAAATTAATTTAGTATAAATAAATAAATGTGAAAAGATTTATCATTTTTACATAATTTTATCTTTGGTAGATAGAAATAATTTTTAAAAATTAAAAAATATTTTTTTAACATTTATTTTTGTCAAATTCGTTTATATTTAATCAAATTGACAACTTTACCCTTGAAATTGAGTAATGGTATCTTCAATTATCTTTATTTGAAACAAGAATCAAAATTTAGGGTATGTATCACAATTGAAAAGTCAGGGACCAATGTGACATAAGCCCCAAACTATAGGGACCATTAGTGTAATTTCCCTTTTTTAAAAGATTATTATTATCTTGACATCCCAAAAAAAATAAAATTCTCAATTGTTAAATGTCTTGAATCATGAATACTAAAAGCACATTTTTTATCTAAAGGATCATAATAAATCTAATTGTCAAAGAATCCATAAACAAGAAAAAATTGTTTCAAACTCCAATCATAAATGCTAAAATAAATTCTTCCAATTCTTTAATGGTCAAGAAAAAATTTGTTTAAACAAAGACCCAACTAAAAAAAATATTCATTGATTAAAGGCCCGTTACTAAAAGTTGTAAATAAACTTTCAATTTTTTTCCACTAATAGAAAATAAATTTTACATGCAAAAAATAAAATACAAAATATTAATAAATATTGTTTAAATATAAAATGCCTCTTATTAAAATTTTTTACTTTAAAAAACCTTATTAAAAGTTGGACTGGACTGATCCAAAACATTACGTTAAAAAATCTCTAGAATTTTCTAACCAAATTTCTACCCAAACTTATCGCAATAATTTTCATTTTTTAGGAATAATTTACATTCAATTTAGATTTGGAATTGTTCAAATTAGAAAAGCAGCTCCACCTTCGTTTGGAAAGTAAGTTGACTTTTTAATTTTTTTAATTATTTTAGTTTGGAGCTAAAAAGTCTCGCTTAGAATAAACGTTTTAGCTTTTTTAACTTTTGTGAAAAAATGAATATAATGATTATAAATTAAATGTGATATTTTATTTTATTATATTAAAAAATATATTTTATTTTTTTATGATTATTTTAATCAAAAAAAAAAGAAAAATTTTCAAACCTAACATCTCAAACAAGCTCTATATCATGATTTTATCATATGTTCATATTCATATTTAGAACCTTCGCGAATTCGACTTTTAGCCACTACGAAATGTTATAACGAAGCAATCATTATCATTTGACTAAAAACATGTTATAGACTTTAAAATGTAATGTTTTGAGAAGTTAGTAAAAAATTAATTTTTAATTTTTAAATCAAAAAAAATTAATTTTTTAAATAGTGATTTAAATAAAAAAATTAATTTTTTTAATTAAAAAAATCAAAAATTAATTTTTTACTAACTTCTCAAAACATTACATTTTAAAGTCTATAACATGTTTTTAGTCAAATGATAATGATTGCTTCGTTATAACATTTCGTAGTGGCTAAAAGTCGAATTCGCGAAGGTTCTAAATATGAATATGAACATATGATAAAATCATGATATAGAGCTTGTTTGAGATGTTAGGTTTGAATTTTTTTTTTTACTCAAATAATCATAA